GTTTATAGTTCTGTTATCCATCTTATACATATTTCTGATGATTGTTGATGCAATAGAGAAGAAGAGGTTATGGAACATTTTAGCAAATTCGGTGAGATATCAGAGGTCCATCTTGTTCTTGACAAGGAAACAAAAAGGTCCAAAGGGTTTGCCTACATCCATTACCAGATTCCGGAATCTGCATTGAGGTATGCCAAAAGAGTAGCCTTATGTTGGTTGATCTTTAGCTGTTAGTTCAGGTTTTAAATCGTTTGGATGGTGATGCAGGGCAATGAAGGAGTTAGATAACTCGGCTTTCCAGGGGCGGTGTTTGTGTGTTAAGCCAGGCGAACCCCGTGAAACGTCTGATAAAAAACAATCTAATCTGCCAAAAACATTCAAGGAAAAGAAGGAAAAACAGAGAAAAGCATCTGAAGCCAGTGGAAATACAAAGGCTTGGAACAGTTTATACATTCAACCCAATACTGTACGGATTCTTCTTTCTTGTTTCAAAGAATGCATCATCCATTTAAAAATCTGACTTTGCTTTGCTTCGCTTCGCTTCATGTTTGTGTTGTAGGTTCTAGAAAACATGGTCAGGATGTATGGTGTAAGCAAGAGTGAGTTACTTGACCGTGAATCTGCTGTACGTCTTGCTTTGGGAGAAGCAAAAGTGATTGCAGAGACCAAAGAAGCACTTGCTAAAGCTGGAGTAAATGTAACTTCTTTGGAAGAATTTGCTACAGGGAAAGGCAAAGAGGAGAAGATCCGAAGCAATCATATTCTCTTGGTGAAGAATTTGTCATTTGCTACTTCTGAAAAGGAACTTGCTCAAATGTTTGGAAAATTTGGAAGTCTAGACAAAGTTATTCTCCCTCCGACAAAAGCGATGGCCTTGGTATCTTTCTTTCTATATATGTGTTCGTTCTACTCCGAGGAATAGTTGATTGTTCTCTAAAATGTGCTTGCACGACCTCTTCAGGTTGTTTTCCTTGAACCGACCGAGGCACGTGCAGCTATGATGAGAATGGCATACAAGCGATACATGTAAGCTTTTAACATTAACGTTTTATGTGCTTCTTGGAGATAAATGACACAACATTTCTCTATTATTCACAGAGATGCTCCTCTGTATCTGGAGTGGGCTCCTGAAGATATCCTTGTGCCGAAAACACTTTCCGGTAACAATGAAAAGAAGAGTGATGTTGGAGAAAATGTTTTGAGAAGAGCCAACCTTGAGCAGCAGTTTGGAATGGATCTGGATAGAACTGAGGTTTGTCAAGTTATGATAGCTGCAAAATACTATGAATTCATATGTTCTTCCTTTCAATAATGCATTACATTGCAGTCAAATGTCCTTCATATTAATAATCTGAGCATCAAGACAAGTGGTGAGAGTTTGAAGAAGCATTTGACTGAACTGATGAAGCAGGGAAATATTCTGAGTGTCAAGGTAAGGTTCTTGTCCATTGCTAAACAGATGATGTGCTCTTCTTAACCATGAAGTCTTTTTTTTAATATTCCTTTATTTTTCCATTATAAGCAGATAATAAAGCATCTAAAGGATGGAGAAAATCGTTCAAGCTGTTATGGTTTCGCAGAATTCAACTCTGTAGAGACAGCGACCAGTGTCTACAGAGATTTACAGGTACATATAATAGTTAAGGCTCTTAGAAACTTAAAAGTTGATTAGACTCTACAATTTTTGGTCTTTTGTTTCTTGTTTTTTTGCAGGGATCTGTTCTGGATGGGCATGCATTGATCTTGAGATCCTGTGAAAACAAGCAGAGTGACACGGCTGGGAAAGGTTCAGACAAGGATAAACCTTGTACAAAGTTACATGTGAAAAATGTAGCTTTTGAGGCAAACAAGAAGGAACTAAGACAGCTTTTCAGTCCATTTGGACAGGTAATAGTGCAGTTGCTTAAGTATTGGTCTTTATGCGTGTTTCGTTTAAGACTGTATTGGAACAAAATAGAAGATGGATTTCAGAAACATCAAAGGACGTTAATGTTTGTGGTTTTACGCAGATCAAGGGTCTTAGGCTTCCAAAGAGGAACATCAATCAGTCCACAGTTATGCTTTTGTTGAGTTCATGACTATGCAAGAAGCGACAAACGCGAAAAAAGCATTGTCAAGCACACATTTGTATGGACGCCGTTTGG